TCGAAACAGCACGCTCGCAGCGTGATCTTTTTTCTCCGGCTGGCCCCACGCCCTCCGCCTACTTGAGCTTACGCCCCTCAGCTTTGTCCCCGCCGGACGGGAGCTTTTGCTGTTCTTATCCTAGCGCGCGGCCCAAGACGGCACGCCCGCGGCACGACAGCTTTTCTCCGGCTGACTCTACGCACTCTGCCCACTTAGCTTTATACCACGCAATTATATTTTTTGCCCGCACATCGGGAGATTTTGTCTTGCTTATCCTAGCGCGCGGCCCGAAGCGGCACGCCCGCTGCCCGCGGCCCGAAACGGCACGCTGGCTCGGCTTCGCGCTCTGGCGCGCGGCCCGACACGGCACGCTCGCAGCGCGATAGCTTTTCCCCGGCAGGCCCCAGGCGCTCTGCCCACCCGAGTTTATGCCCAGCATTTTTTATCCCAGCCGGACGGGAACTTTTGCTTTGCTTATCCTAGCGCGCGGCCCAAGACGGCACGCCCGCAGCATGATAGTTTTTCTCCGGCCGACCCTACGCACTCTGCCCACTGAACTTTATGCCCCGCAGTTTTTTCCCCGCCGATCGGGAACTTTTTTGTTTGTCTTATCCTACCGCGCGGTCCGAAACGGCACGCCCGCTGCCCGCGGCCCGAAACGGCACGCTCGCAGCGCGGTAGTTTTTCCCCGGCTGGCCCTACGCGCTCCGCCTACTTAAGTGTGTGCCCAGCAATTTTACCCCCGCCGCACGGGAGCTTTTTTTTCTTATCCTCGTGCGCGGCCGGACATGGCGCGCCCTCCTACCGCGCGGCCCGAAACGGCTCGCTAGCTCGGCTCCGCGCTCTCGCGCGCGGCCCGAAACGGCACGCCCGCAGCACGATACTTTTTCTCCGGCAGGCCCCCCCCCCCCCGCCGGACGGGAACTCTTGTGTATCTCATCCTACCGCGCGGCCCGAAATGGCACGCCCGCTGCTCGCGGCCCGACACAGCATGCCCGCTCAGCTTCGCGCTCTTGCGTGCAGCCCGAAACGGCACGCTCGCTGCGCGCGGTCTTGCCCGCTGGACTTAATTTATACCCTATATTATCTATAGATCTACCTATCTATCAATCTCTCTATCTACCTCTCTATCTCCTATCTATCTATCTACCTCTCTATTTATTTATCTCTCTATCTCTTTATCTATCTAGCTAGTTATTTGTCTATCTATCTACAAATCTATCTATCTCTGTCTATCTCTGTTTCTCTATCTCTTTCTATCTATTTCTCTAGCTATCTCTATATCTGTTTATTGATCTATCTATCTACCCATCTTTCTCTGCACTTAAAAGTTGCGATGTTCAATCCCCGAAAGTTGACTTCGCGTACTACTTTCGTACTTAAAAGTTGCGATTTTCGAGCCCCAGCTGCGAAACTGGACTTCACGTACTACTTTCGTAGTTAAAAGTTGCGATTTTCGAGCCCCAGGGCAGGAACTGGGCACGCTCAGGGCTCCGGGGCTCTGGCGCAAAGAGATGCCAGCGAGTCCCTCTTCAACTTGGCAGCTTCTTGTGGGCGTTTCAGGAACCAAGAGCCCAAACTTGCACCGGCTTCGTGTCCGGCCAAAGCGCCGGCAAGGCCGGCCCACGGGCCAAAGAGCCGGCACCATATTATGCAACTCGGAAAGAGTTGTACTATCGCTCGTGGTACATGTTTGAATGTTGGTTACTTCCGGTGCTTTGGGTGCTGGTCAAGATGCTGTTTTTATGAATGCCTGTACCCCTTCCCCTGCCCCTCCCTGTAAGGTAGTTGGGTGCTGTCCCTATAGTGGCTAGGAAGCTGATACATCAGCATTTTCCCTATAAGCTTTGCGAAGAGACCCCTTGATTTTGATCGGAGATTCGAGCTGCGCTGTTGCGTCCCCCAACGGGAAATCACTCAGAGATTTGCATTTCTCTTTCTAAAAGAGCTGCGTCCTAAGATTTCCGCAAACAAAGGCTTCCCAAGGGTCTCCTAAGGCTTCGCTGGGGCTTCACGAAGGATTCCAGCCTTCCCTAAGGCTTCCAGGCTGAATCACACAGTTCAGGGGTCCCTATATTTCCCTTTTTGGTGGTTTTAAACATCACCTTTTTGGTCCATGAAAGGTGAGTATCCCTTGTTGGGGGTGATGCTTTAAGGGGAAATATAGGGAGCCCTGCAGTTTTTCACATCCTGAGAAGGGGGTTGGTGAGCTCACGGGGATTCTTTTGTGCGCATTGACATGAGCTACACCCTGGCCATTCAACAGAAGCCCAAGGGCCAGCGTCCTCAATGTGGCTGTTTAAGAGCGCATCCCATTCTTATACTTGGCATTTTGTGTAAGATTGTTCACGGCGCATCTTTCGTGGCAATGCTGGCGTTTTGTTGGGCCGCTCCCGGTTCACAGCTTGCTTGCTTTGGACTAACACAGGCACACGGCTGAGGATGTGACATGGCTATTGATGGTGGATCGACGTTGCGTCTGCGTCACACCTCTTCGGGCCCTTTGGGATTTCACTTTGGGATTTGTACCTCAATTTGATTTCTCTTGTCGGTGCCAACAGTGTCGAAGGCATCCCCGGCTCGTTACATCCTTCTAAGGTTACCGTGAATTGTTATCGTGGGTCATGATCTGTTCCTTTATTTGCTCTTCTTGAGCTTTGTTTGATTTGCGTCTCCCTGAAGCTTTCGCCCTGAGCTTTAACTTTTTGAGGATGCACTGAGAACTTTCTCGGTGCCTGTTGAAGGTTCTGTGTGCTTGTGCCGTCTTGTCTGGTTTGGTTTCCTTCCTCCGCCTCTCTGCGCTGAAATTCTGAAACGGCGGGCCTGCGTGTCGCAACCGCACGGATCAAAAAACGCACTTGGTGGATTTCTGAATGCTGACTTTCTGTCAACCATGGATACAGGATTTCCGGTGGACGTTTCTCCCATTTTGCATGTACTTTTTCCAGAGGTTGAGCGCAGACTCCATCTTGATACCGTTTTACGACTGTCCAGGGCTGCTCGTTGCCTTGGAGCAACTGCGGTGGTGCTTGCCTGCCTCTGTGCGGATTTAAAGTTTTTGTGAATCTCTTGGTTCTTGGCCCCTTCTTTGGGTTTCCTCTTTGTCCAGCTTTGGGGTTGGTCTGTTCGCTTCCCGGTTCAGCTCCTTCCTTCGGCTTCGCGGCTTGGGCCGCGGGCCAACAACACGAGCTTTGCGCTCGGCGTGGGCCCCACAGCCAAGGTCCGGCTTTGAACTTGCACTCCAGTTCTGTGTCACATTTCAGCCGCACGTCAGGCGACACGGGCCCCACTTCGACCCGATGGTGATTGATTTATGAGTGTCAGCAGATTGAGGCTTTTGTTCCCTACACTGGCGTGCCGCCCTTTGTCACCGTATGGCGACAACACAGAGTGGCCTTTTTGCTGCAGCTCCCTGCAACTCTTACCTTGTCTGTGACCTCTTGGTCCGGACTCTTTTGCTTCTTCGTGTCTGATTCTTTTTGGTGTTCTAGTTGTTCTTTGTTTGGGCTGCCCTTGTTTGTTGCGTTCGGTGACGTTGCCTACCGCTGCGGGGGCTGGGGTATTTGCTTGTTGTGCCAGACATATACATTGTGGACCGTCGTTGCTGCACGGTAAACAAAAACAAAAAATGACGGCGTCTACACGGGCTCAGTGGTCTCTCATTTGCCGGCATGCCCTCCGCGCGAACCTTGTCGCTGGCGTAGACCAAGCAGATTCCGCGGGCGACGAACCGGAGGGATGGAAGGCGATGACCCTTCCGCGTCCGGTTGGGACTCAGAAGCGACCAGCTCTGGATGATTGCCTTCAGCCAGCCAGGACCTCGTGTTTTCAGCTGACGATCCTGCCTGCCGGTTGCCTGTGTGGCCCCGCCTCCCGAGCTCACAGACTCAAGTGGCGCCACGTCGGACAGTTTTCTCCTAGAGAACGAGTGCACGGACGCTGTGCAAAAGATTGCCGTTCACCTCACCAAGCTGCAAGTCTGCCACATGTAGAGAAAAGGTGAAGCGATGGAGGACGGGAACGGAGCGACCCCCGCAGGACGCCGGTAATTGGCAGAATTTGGCAATGCATACTGCTAACCAAAGCGAGCCATATGACCTTCTTCTATTTCTTTGCCCAGACGCCAACTGTTGCCTTGGGTCGCCCGATCAGATCATGTCCGCAGCCAGTGTTTAACCACTTCACACCACGGCCTTGCTAAGAGCGATCAACTGGCCATGGCTCTTTCTTAATGTGGCGACCTGTACTGGCTTGTCCTCCGCACAGTTGTGTTTGATCAGCGTCCTTGATGACTTCAGCCTGTAGGATTGTGCTTTGTCTTTGATCGAAACGACCCAATGATGTGAAATACGAAATGGGTTGCTGTCGTTGGTTCTTTTCCTTGGCGCGTATCATACGAGCTTCGTATTCTCCAAGTACATGAAGGAGCATTGTCCAAGTCGTGGGCGTTTCTTGCAATAACTGTCAGCGTTTCTGTACGACTCGCTGGTGGCATCATCGTTGTCATTGTAGTAGGTCTCAGCCTCGGCGTCGCTCTCTGCGCCACAGACGTCCTCCTTCTTCACCGACGCAAGAGGTTTTCTCACCGTTAGCTGGTGCGGCGTTGCCTTCCCCTTTCGTGTAGCGTCGGGCGTCGCCGGAGCAGGCTTAGGAAGAATCAACAAACATACCCCGCATGGTTTAATGTTAGTTTATTGAGATTCGGCAACCCTTCCAGTGGTTTGCGTGGCGGCATGTTTTTGGGTGGGTCAGATATAGTGTGTTTTGACATCGCCTGGCAAACCAAACAAAACGGCGTGGTGTCTTGTAGGATCTTCGGCTCCCACTTATTGGGCATCCACCGTATGCTTCAAAATAGGCCTCAAATGGTTTGGGTTCCATTTCATGTTTTTTTGCGTCAACACCCGGAACTGTTGCTCTGTTTAACCAGCTCTCAAGCCGACTTCGGGCTTTCCCGGATCCTGAAAGGCAGCGTTTGAAGACTTGGTGATGCTCTATCTGCATGTCGAACTCGAGAGATCTCGGCTCAGGTAGGGTTTTGATCAAAGCTCATGAAACCACCTCTTGGTCGAAAAGATGGGAACCAGGTTCGTGGGGATGGGGCCTTGAACTTGCTTCCAGGAAGGATTGGCACGTCTCCATGCGGCGTTCTTGGGTGACCAAACATACTCAAGTCCCGTACACGCCGGGTGCTTTTCTCACACGCAAACCCAACAAAGTCCTCGGCTTTCCTCGCTTCGCTTTTTCCGATTGGATCGATTCGGGGCATCCGAATCGACATGGAGAGTTTGTACCAGCCGGTGGGGGCGCCACCGCGGGCGCCAGGTGAGGTTTGGCCGAGTCGAGCGGATCGAGAGCCAGAAGGGTTTTTTCCGTAAAGTTCCACCTTTTCGGCCAGTCTGAAACTTGAGTTTTTGTTTTGGGCAGCTTGATATGTCCAAGGAGAAATGCAGGACATTCTGTGGGGTGCCATTTTCGAGCTTGTGGCGAGCATTTGAGCAACTGATGAGCAAACGGGAAGGTGCAAGGTTTCAAGCAACGTTCGAACTCAGCTTAGAGGCGTGGTCTTGGAATTACTTTTGGAGAATGGACACCCGTTGAAACCACGCCACTAACATTCGCCCAAAGAACATTTGGTGCCACTTTCACGACCCAACGAAAAGGGCACGAGGCCCCCCAAAGTCCGTCCCTTTGCTCTTTCACCGTAAAAAGTCCGAGCCTGTATTTGATTTGGAGAGACTGGATTTCAAGAGCCAGAGAAATGAGTCCGTCGGCCCATAGCTTTGGGATGCCTGTGATCTCTCCAAGTCATTGCCAGTCACATGTGGATTGCCCCTCGAAACTTCACTTGGGGTGTGACATCGCCCCCATTGAGTGTCGACCATGCAACGCGAATACAACCCAGGGCCGTTTTGGGCGGGGGAGTTTCAGTGTTTTTCTTTGCTTTGTTTGCTTTTTGTTTGTTTGTTTGTTTGTTTGTTTGTTTGCTTATGTGTTTGTTTGTTTCAGTGTGTTGCTCGAGTTGTAGGGTTTGGCAGTTTTAGGGCCACGTAGTTTTCTTGACTATATGTTCAGAGCTCTCGCTGGAGATTAATCAGACGTCTTCTTCTGAAGATCTTCACAGGCAGTTACTCCGGCAACTTGGTGGTTCGGGGGTTTATCCCCCTGCTTTTTGCATATACCCTTTGGTTTATTAATAGGGGGTGTTCCCTTAGTTTGGATTCCGCACTTGAGGATCAGTGTATTCATCTGGGGCCGACATTGGGCGGGTAGTCAAAACGACCACTCTCGAGTCCACTTATCAGCCCAGTTGTGGTTGACCCCAGATGCGATTCATCCCTGGGGTTGTGCTGTGCCGTGGTTTTCCATCCATACCGACCCCACCCCAAAACCAGGTTTGTCACTTCCGTGAAGGGCGGGCCTTGCTAACGATTCCCATGGCTCCCCTTGCTTTGACCATCCACATGTCATGACCATGGCTGAATGGGGTGTCGGGTTTCCGAATCTGCTTGTGGTCAAGACCACCCACCCAAATTCTTAGCGGTGGATTAGGTCAAGGACAAATGTCACACAGAAGCTTAGGATGAAGACCACCCATGACCGGAGTTAAGACACTGGGAGCTAGGAGTTCACACAGAAGCTCAGGGTTAAGACCACCCGTGACTGGAGTTCAGACACTAGGAGCTAGGAGTCAAGAAAGGAGTTTTGTGATTTAAAGACACTCCTAGTTGTCTTTTGGTGTTTATTCACATCACTTTCTCAACTTAAATCCCACATGTTCCCACCAAAACTATGTAAGGGAGGTCTCTTTTGGGGAAGACCCACATGTTCGCACCAAACGACTGTTTCTTCCTCGGGAAAACCCGTATTTCCCCAGCAAAAAAGGCTGCGCGGTGCCCAGCACGCGCTTGCGAGGCGCCCCGCGCTGCGACTGCGAGGCGGCGCGCAGTTTGGCGCCGGCGGTGGGCATCCTGGCGGCGGCCGCGGCGGCTTCGCCGCAACGCGAAGTGCAGGGAGCTTTTGCCCCGGGGCCTAAGCCCAAGATTCATAATGAATGTGTGTCTTCATCTTTGGACCCGAAGCCCCTCAAAATCACATTTGGGGGGGCGGGACAGGGAAGGGGGTCAACTAACCTATGATTGTTGCCAAGTTGGTAAGCCCTGGGGTCTTTGTATCAAGGCCTGTTCAAGTTTGCAGGGGAAAACATGAATTGGAGCTTCCCCTTGTTTTGCGCATCTCCGAACAAGGTTTTCGCAGGCGCTCAATTGTCTCGAATTGGGCTGGAACCTGCCAAGACAGGTGGTTTCCCCTGTGGTTTCCAAAAAAAGTCAAAGGGTTTAGACATGAACATGACGCAAAATCCTGAGCGCACATGGGGTTGTCCTGAAATGAGTTGAAACCTGACCCACATGTGCCTGGTTTCGTTTTGGTTTCTGACAAAACAAGCTGACTTACTTGGAAAGGTGGGTTGAGTTGCTCCGGACTCATCTCTATTGGTCTCGTTGGATCTCACGGGCCACCGGAAGAAGTTGGGGGCCGGTTCCTGACCAACAGGGGGTTCAGAGCTTATTTTTTTTTTTTTAAGCATGCGGGTTGCAGGAATGAGGTTGGAACCCAAAGGAACCGCCATTGGACTCCATCTTACATTCGACGTCATTGTGTCGCTCTTGCTTGTAAACGTGACTTCTTCAAATTCATTGTGAGGCCATGACCTTCCTGGTGCCTGCGCTCATGGGAGTGACCCACAAGGCGTGGTGGTCCCTGTGCCAACGGGGTAAGGGGGTCTGTTGAGGCTGGAAGCTTGTTGGTGGGTTTCCGGGTTTAGGTGGGGCTGGGCTCCAGATCGGAAGCCGCACGCCCCCTTTGGCGAGTTTATTGGTGAAGTGACGTTGAACGTGGCTTCACAATCCAAGTCTTTCACTACCCTTGATTACGTACTACTCTGTCCACGAATATGGAACCCACCAGATTGGCGCTTTTAAACAAACATAGTCCACCTGAAACGTCAGGCTGAATGTTGGGCAGGAGGGTAGGTTTCTTGGTTGGTATTACCCTCTACTACACCTCGTCGCAGGCATCTCCAGCTGCTTCTTCCGGGGCTGCTCCCGCCGCTGGAGTAGTTCCAGTGCCTGGCGTTGGAGTGGAGGTGGGGCCCTTTGCCGATGGGGTTTGTTGACCCTTTTCTTTGGGGTTGGTTTGAAAGGGGGCACCAAAAGGTTGACCCGGACCAGTGTTGCCGGGGCAATGGGGCCTATGTCCACAAATGTCCGACAGTCACTCTTTGGTTGGACCGAAGGTGACCTGTCCCAGAACTCCTCCCAATGAAAGGATGACCGGAAGATCATGTTCCTGAAGCGACCATCTACCTGTCAGGTGCCATGCGGCTTCAACAGGCTTCGGAACACAGACTCACTAAACTTCACAGAAGCAGGGGGGCACAAACACACACGCACATTGTTTGGTGCATGTCCCTGATGGGAACAGCGTGACACAGCGCGGACCTCGCTTCCGCCTCCCCCCCCCGCCCCGCGCTCGGCTGCCGAGACTTGGACCGAGACCAGCAGCAGCCCAAGGGGACTGGGCGCTGGGGGTGCGGGATGCCCGACCGGCGAAAGGCCGAGGGGTGCGTGGCTCTTGGGTTGCTGTTTCGTCACTCAGTTGCTTGTTGTTTTGACAGCAGGAAGCCAACTCCCTTTTTTGCTGGCATGGTAAGCACGATTTGTTTGTCGGGACGCTGCATGTTTCATTGTTTGGTCCGGGGGGGTTACAAGTTTGCGCTTTGTTTCTTTTGATCAGCCACTTTTTGTGAGCCAAGGTCCATGTTTTTCTAAGATGGTTGCAACCCCTAATGAAGTATGGCCACATTTTGTCAGCCTCCTTGCAACTGGATCTGTTCAATTGACCACTTGCTCAAAATCACATCTGGAGGGGAATATCATTTGTTCCCCACCTCTGGGACTATCAATTTCAGGGCTGATTTTGAGGGTGTCACTTTCAGCCCACGTTTCTGCTGGATGGCACCCCTTTTGGGGGAGCAAATTGAATTGAGGGTGTAGCTTTGAGCAACATGTGGGGTGTGTCTTTGTTTAGGGCAGCCAGTTTTTTGTGACGGCTTCAAAAGGGAAACCAAAGGGAACACCGAACTCCATGGGGGGTCCAACCTGAAAACGACGAGCCATGGTGCGTTGGGACCCCCCGGGTTTGAATTCCGAGGCAGTGCTCCGACGACCCCGAAGGCGACCAGCCCGGAGCTTATGTCGTTGAGAGAACTCAGCACCCAACGACAAGGCACTGCAAGCTGTACAAAGCATCCAAAGCGGGGAACACGCTCCTAAAGTCAAGGTGTGGACAACCAAGAGGCAACAGACAAGATGGATTTTTTTTTCTCCCGAAGGTCCCAACATGGATTCGGTTTTCAATTGGTTGCCGTTGCATTTCCCCCAAAAAGATTGGTACCCTCAAACAAAGAAACCCGCACACACGCAACATCCGCAAGGGGGTTCTCTAGATCAGCGGACGATAACTGAGACATGAAACGCAGGTGGTGTCTTTTCGTACAAAGCCGGGAGGTTCTAGCCCAACGTCTACCTTTGGGAGGTTTTCAGCTGGTTTCCACTACCACCAGACCAGTACCTTGAATTGGAAGTCGTTGGCATGTAACAGCTGCATGGTCACTATGTGAGCAGGTCGGGCAAGTGACTTGTGACAAACATCATTGAAAGCTGAAGGGGGTATGCACCAATCATTTGCCTGGGGTGGTGGTTTGGCCTGTGGTGGTTTTGTGGTGGAAACGTTAGGTGTGGTGAGGCGAAGGAAGCAGTCTGTCAGGTGTTCTATTATTTTGCGGCAGGGGGCACAAAGTTCCATCACCTACGAGTCCCGGGCAGCCTTCTCCTCTCCTTGTGTTCTCCCGGGTTTCTGTTTTTTGGGAGTTCGGCACACCTCCGATTTTTGGAGAGGCTTTGCCTGTTTTTGTCCAATTGGAGGGTAGCACTCTTCTTGCTTCCTTACGCAGAAGAGTTGTGCACGTCAGAACCCTTCCAAGGAGGTTGCCAGTTTGTCTTGGCTCCTTTCCAACTCAAGAGGAGCTGAGGATGTGAAAATCTAGGATCCTGCCAGAGTTTGACAGGGCAGGTTTCACCCGGCCAAAAGGATCTTTCTGACACGGGCTGCAGTGCTGCAGGCAGACTCGACATGAAGTCAGCCAGGTGTCTTCGTCCACTTCTTGTTTCTCCGCCTGCTTGAGCCAGGGGTTTATTGAGGAGCGCCTTTTTTTTTTCAGGGTGCCCTGTTGAAAGGGGACCTGTTCTGTGCCGAAGCAGTTCCATGAGGATCCGTTCATGTTGAGACCGCTCTGTGAGGCATCGCCGACCAAAATCGGCTGGATCTGGAGCTGGGGGTGGGTCGATGCGTGGGGCGGGCAGTGGATTGGAGAAGACCCTGTGCAAAAGGCTTAGTGGATTCCAGTGCACCAGGATCGGAAAGCGCAGAAATCGATTGCAAAGAGGGATGGAGAGGGGTGTCTCGGATGGCTTTGTGGCAGGTTCAGTGTCTTTCGAGGATTGTTCACAGCTTGGTTCTGTGATCCTTTCCCTCCCAACAGGTGCGGGTTCTCATGTTCGCCCGCATTGGCGGCTTGGATGAGGAATTGAACCTCTGGTTCTTGTAAAGGGCAAATGGGAAACCACCCCCTAAACCCTGAACGACCAAGTTGGCTGCCAACCCCGGCCTCCTAGCTCAGACGGCTTCGCCATAGACTTTGCCTGTGCTTGTGCTGCATTTGTGTGTTTGGACAACAAAATCAATTTGACCATTGAGAGGGAGAAACGTGTGTTGGGGCATTGGTGGGGTCAGGCCATGACTGGGTGGGACGGGAATCCTGATAGAGCATGTCCTGGACTTTTCGTAAGTTTGGGGTGCAACCCTCCTCGAATGCGATCAAACGGATCTCCTCGCGTGGAACGATCACGTTGGAACCTCACGAAAGGAGGGTCTTGGTTTCGACGAATCTTTCTTTGGCCTCCTGGCTTCCAAGTTCCGATGGACCAACGGCTCCTCCGGCTTGACATTGTGCATATGCCGTGTGTTTGCTTCAACCAATCATCTCTCCCAGACACGCTTATTTGTATTTATTCATTCTGTATGCATGTGTTCTTCTTCTCGGAGCATGGACTTGTTTTGATAGGCTTTTTGCTCATTTCCCAGGGACATCCATCTAGTTTTCCAAAAGATCACCAATGCATATGGGTGTGTCATTGTTCTTTTCAACCCCTTTTTGGGGTTCACCACCCTTTTTGGGGTGGTTTCAACTTGTCACCTGTCATCTCCCGGCATCCGCTGGCAGGAGCTCTCGTTCCAGCTGGACTGGCTGGCTCGGGCACCTGGGTCCGGGTTTTTCTCCCCCCCCCCCCGCCAGGAACCCCCCCGCCCGGAAAGGAAAGAAGGTCCGCGAGGAGGAAGGCTCGTCTTTCGAGTTTGGGGTTCTCGTTTTGTTTGGTAGAAGGTGCCTGACTTTTGAACTTTTGGGACTGGTCATCGCATGTGGCTCATTGACTCGGTCCTTTTCAGAGGGAAGCCGAAAGCCGAAGCCAACAAAAAGGCGAAGCCTGGAAGGAAAAAGCCATGCGCCAGCCGGTTCGACTGAACCCCCGAAAACGAAGCTTCCATGGGCCGGAAGGGATGTCTCCAAAATGAGCCAGTGTTCTGTTTGGCAGATCAAGCGTAGTATACTATAGAGCAAGTAGCTCGGGCAAAAGCAAATGCTGGCCGGAGCTCGAAGGAGGTCGCTTTCCGAAAGAAACCATCACAGCTTTTTGCCAAGGCCTTGTTTAGTCCGATAATTGGCCCAGATTTGGTTTTAAGGCACCTCAAATCATGCATTTGATTGAGTTTTGGCCCATTGTGGTAGCCAGGGCCGGGTCAAAGTTTTCTCGCAGAACAAGCTGAGAGCCGTTTGAGGCCCCACGACGGTCCCTGACTTGCGCAGCTGGTCTTTTGTCCCACAGCTTCGCGGCGGTACACGTTTTATTCCCATGAAACCTAGACAAGGTGATGACCCAAAATGTTAGTGCAGCTACACGCCTTTTTTCCATGAAACCTAGACAAGGTGATCACCCAAATGTTATTGCAGCTACACACCATTTTTCCATGAAACCTAGAAAAGGTGATGACCCAACAGGTATTTGCAGCAGGAAACCGACGACTTCTCTTCGAAGTTTGCTGAAGAGCGACCCATCGGGGGAAAAAGACCGGCTCACAGGGCGCGTCCCCGAGCGAGAGGCCCGGGTGCCCCAGCCAGCGGTGCCTTGGAGTGTTGAGGGGCAAGACAAAGACTCATGGCAAAGGTAGGCAATACATATATGGCTGTGGGTCAAAACCAATGGTACCATTTTGGGGTAGGTGCAGCACCCATTTAGTCTAATTTAGTGGGGATTGGGATGTTCACTGGCGGTTCGGGATTTTGACCCATGGCCATATGCGTATCATTCTATTATATCCACTTGTACACAAGTAGGCCCCTCCTCTTGTATTCTACTATATCGTTCTATTAATACATATATGGATGCATTCATTCTATTTTGTAGGCCCCTCTTTCTATGAAGCAAGCCTGCGGTTTCTGTGGCACGCCAGCCGCAGGGGGTAGTGGATCCATCACACATGAGGTAACAAGCAGTTAAAATAATGCAGCATTCCCATGAATCATGGGCTCGGGGGCTCGGCCCATTTCCTTTCGGCTATTTCGGCAGGGCTTTGGTGTCTGCCTCTGTCCCCTTCCAAAGCCACAAGAGGGCTATGGAGCTTCCGGTGAAACAGGATCAGCTCCGGTCGAGGAGATCTGCGATCAACTTGGGGTTTCCTCCCAGCACCCCACAGATTCCCTTTTCAGGCGCCTTTGGAACTGCTCTTCGTGGAAAACATCCAACTTGAACTGGAGAGAGAAACGATGGGGATCCTTGTCAGATGAGTTTTGGCTGAAACGGCTCGTTGCGCAAAGTATCTTGGCAACATCGGCACGACTTGTTCACAGGCCAACGGTTCCGCCACCTGAACCATCTTTTTTGTAATTCGTTTGACTTGGTCGCCCAATCCGTGGCTCATCGGATTGGCCCATCAACTCCACTTTGAACAGCCCACTTTTGATATCAGCTTTTGGTAGCAACTACTATGCACCCCAGTGAATATAATTGCATACAGACATTTATCCAGATCTATATGACTACATGCCTTTTTGTATGTGCATATTTGCATAGTGAAACACATGTGTATATACATATATACATCATTGTTTGTGTAAAAGATCAAGCACTCGGTAAATGCAGGCACACGTCCATCCATCCGTCCATCCATCCATCCATGCATGCATGCATGCATGCCTGCGCATGCATGCATACCTGCATACATACACGCCTGGGCTGGCTCGTACCCTTAGCCAAGGGCCTGAGGCGGGTGGAAGAGCCTGCGTGCCATTTTTTTTTAATTAATTTAACTGGTTCAAGATAGATGAATTCCACTGGTACTTCACCACGGCAATGTGTCAATGTTTCCAAGCTCGTGTTGGAATAGCTTGCTATGTGCACCTTGAAAGCATCGGCGCAGCAGCTTTGAGACCCCTATCCATGTGGATCCCTTGCTTAGACTTGGTACAAGACTGGTAGAACAGGCCAACTAGGTGCAATAGAAACCATGAGTTTGGACGTACCCTTTGGAAACCACCAGGAGGCCTTGAAGATGCTCCGTTCTCTGGGGAGCTTCCTTGGAATTGCGGCAGGGTGATATCATTGATCAAAATCTGACATTGCCAGATTTTCATCAATGCAGCATTCTAAGCAAGACTTGGTACCCTCCCAGATGGTTTTTCTTGGAGGAAAATGGTCTTCCACCCCCGCCAATTGGGTTCCATGCCAATCTGTGCAAGGGTACTCCCCTACAGATGAACATGGAACCCCAACTGCCACCATGTGCAGAGGAAGCTCCTTTTGGGTCCCTCTTGCGTAAAAGGCACCCCGCTTTTGGGTTCCTTCCGCTTCAAGCAGCAGTTCTCGCTGTACTTGCCCAGGCAAGACCTGGAAGACAAGCTTCGGTCGGCCATCGCCCGGAAAGCAAAGGCCTATGGGGCGAGGGCAACTCGAGGGCTCGAGGAGAAGCGAGCGAGCTTTCCATCCATCTGGAGTCGGGCGGAGAAAACCAGGTCAGCCATCAAGGGTCCTTTCAGGGATTCTTTCACAGTCAATAGTCTGATCGTTTCTCGGGCATGTCCTTTTGCTTGAAAGCAGATGAGTCTCATGTGGCAAAATCAATGTATTTTGACACCCAAAGGGGCATCTCTTTTTCCTGGATCTCTTCCTGGCATTGGCCTGTGTGAGCCCGGACATCTACTTGACTACTTCATCCAGCCGGCTCTCCTTTTGAGACAATCGGGTTGTGGGCCCTCGGAAAAAGGGGGGGAAGCCCAATGCATTTGGTTTTCTCCCCTTGGAATGCGAAAGGAACAGCCAAGGGCACCTTTGCTTTTTGGAGCCGACAACGGATACGGTATCTTGCTCCCCATGGGGTGTATGCGCACTTTGGTTCAAGAAAACACCGGAGATTCCATAGGAATGTTGCCACCCTTTTTTGCCGGATATGATTCCCCTATTCTTAAGAAACACCCATGTATTTGGGCACGTAAAGGTGGGAGTTGTGGCATTTCATTAAACTGCATCCTTTTGAGAACATGCCAAGTGTTGAAAATCCGGGAACCAATAAACAAGGTTTGCGTGAATTCTCGAGTCTTGTTTTTCACCTTGGTATCAAGTGGCCATGGGTCAAAAGCCCGTACCCTCGGTGAATATCCCAATCCCCACTAAAACAGACTAAACTGGGTAGTGCACCTACCCCAAAATGGTAGCATTGGTTTTGACCCACAGCCAAGTGAAACCAAGAGGAACAATTGTTTGCGTGCCTCGATTTTTTTTGGCAAAATGGAGCCCCGCCTCGCCTCAGCTTTCTCTTTGGTTCGTGAGAGTCTTTCCCACTCGCATCAAGCGGAACCAAGTCATGAGGGATCAACCCAAACATCTTCTGGGCGATAGGTATGGCTGTGGGTCAAAAGAATGTACCCAAAACGGCTTGCCCTAGTAAGTGGAAACATGAACTCAAACCTGCAGTCCCCTGGTGGTGTAATTTTGACCCACCCCCGTATAGGAAAAAACTATCTTCTCAGGTAGCAAGCCAAAGGTACGCTTTGTTTTGTATGCATGGGCACATCGGCAGGTTCCGCCGGAATATGCCCGGCGACCCAGAAGAGGACTTGGCCAGAGGAGGGAGAGGAGGGTGGCAGGAACATCAGTTGGAACTGAAGCTCAACCAGTGTTGTTTCGTGGGCTGTTCAAGCATGGAGGGTTTGCCAGTTCATATGGGTGTGTCTTTTGTTGAGGGTATCCCTTATTTGGGGCTTTACAGGAAAAACATGAGGAATCGCACGCTTTTTTCAGGGTCCCCCTATAACAAGACACATCCATGTACGGAAACCACTACAAAGAGAATCACCTTCATCACTTAAGTGCAGGAATGCTACAACCCTGTTCATTTGGCTTATTCACCTGATGGCGTGTGTCTCCGAGTGGGTTGTAGGGTCCTAGCCATATTGGACAAATGCTTGATGGAGCCACATAAGTCCCAAAAGACGAGCAGGACGGCTTCTCCACTTTTAGCGGTTTCTTTTTTTACCAGGTCCAATCAACAAACTCAACCGACAAAGGAAAAGCAAATACCTGTGGAGATGATGCCTCTTGTGGTGGGTCCCATGGTGTGTTGATGCAGACGGGGACAACTCAAGTTTCATTTCCTCCCGAGACCCAAGGAAAGATTTCTCATAGCTTTTAAGGAGGGGTGTCCCTTCAAGGTCAGCCCTACAAAAAGGCTGCCCTCTCTCTCCCTCCACTGAAATCTGCGCGTTTTGTTTTGGTTTTTGAAGAGAACCCCCTCTTTTGCGGTCTTAACGGGAAACCACCAAGACGTCCCCACCAAAAGCATCTCTCCGAAAGCTCAGGTGCGGGTGGCCGTGCCGGAAGCCGCCGGCAAGGTGGAGGCGAAGGCCGTGGGCTCGCCAAAAGGGATATCTGCAAGGCCATGGAAAAGCAAGGGAAGCTTCAGAACAGAGGCCCTCTCAAACCGGATCCGTTGAAGTTTTAGTCCATATGGTGGCTCAAAATGGCCTAAGACAAGGGACATGTTTTAGTCCATATGGGTGTGGCTCAAAATTAAGCGATCGGAGGGGTTAAGTTACGCAGGTTTTGGTACCCATGTTTCCACTTGCGAGGGCAACCCATTTGGGTACCGTTGTTTTGAGCCACAGTCATATCAGCAGCGTCCGGCTGTCTGGGGTCATGGCTGTGTGGTTGGTCGCAACGTAGACCAGATAGATAACACAGGTATAGAATGAAGTATATAAATACAGAGAACCACTCCCCAAGCGCCTAGCAAGGCGGCGTGCCCAATCATACTCATGGGTGGTATATACCCAGTGATACGACCTCGTACAACCTACTTGTCTGGAGGCCCATGGTGGAACCGTGACCAGGTGGTTTTTGGGTTTCCCACTGTTGTAGTCTTCGAATCACTAGGTTCCGACTATGTAGCTTTGGGGTTATTTTAGGGGCTGGCCAAAGATGCAGCTGTCAAAGACGGCATGATGAACCTAGCAATACCCTCCGTAGAGACCCACCTATGGTGATAACGTAGCACCCAATACTTCCTACTTGTGGCTATTGCCATACAACCATTGTTACAAGCTACTCACTGATGGTCCGAAGTGGGAGCAGCACAGACCAGTCAGTCCCCAGTTAAGCTAGCCACTCCTTTGTAAACCCTTGCAAGCAGAGTTACCAGCCATCTAAGATCGCAAACGATTTGGCTTGCAACCCGCTTCGAACTTGGCTATCACTAGGTGATCACCTCGTTTCCTGGGCTTGCCAGCTTACAATCTGATCAACCATATCCACAGCTTAGTTCCAGGTTGCTACTTTAGGTTGACACAACCGGACGGTTGCTGGGTCATCTCTCCAGGCAGCGACCTTCAAGATGATTCTTCCATGTTGCTTTTTCCAGGTTGCCTCCTTGAATCAATTGCAACCAGGAAAGAAGGCGGCCAATTCTTCCATGTCCATGTCGCACCTGTCCAGGTTGCTTCTCTCCTTCTTTCCAGGTGGCCGCCTTGAAACTTCAGGTCTATTCTAACTGCTTTGGATTTGGATTTGAACGGGCCCCTGGTTCTTAGAGGCCACACGTGGCCCCCCCAAAGTCCACCGCGTCGTGGGAAGCCGCCAGCTCCGCTGCTCCGCTCGGCTCGCGGCTCGCGGCGCGTAGGTGGTGCCTCCCCCGGGCGCCACGCCCGGGGATCTCAAGGCGCAGCTCGCGGAGCTGGGGCCCACGCTGGCGCAGGCCGCCCGCGGCCGCGGGGGCGGCTTTGCCATGGCTTCGGTGGACGTCCTATTCGGTCCTTCTCGGGGGGGTTGGTGTCTGGGTACGTGGGAGGTTTTTTTTTTCTTCTGTGGGAGGGGGGGGCTGGCGTGGGGACGTTTGGAGTTGTGGGTCTGTCGTTTTTTGGAGAAAGGTACCCAAAACTTTGGGGTTTGCAAGGGACACCGAGAGGAAAAGCCACCTGGGGTTGGGTTGGGTGTATCGAACCTGGAGTTCCCCTGGTTGGACTCCCCCCCCAAAAAAATGCGGTTCCAATAAAGGGCGTCCAATCGCTTGTGCAGGACAATCATGCGTCAAATGGGCGTTTTGTTGGTTCAGATACCCTTTCCCACTTTTCAAAGCGAAAGCGAAAGCGAAGACATTGCTAGGGGTCCTTTGATCCCTTTGACACGCACCGAAATGGACATGGTTTTTGCTCTGGTTGATGCTCTTGGGGTTGGGGATGCTCTTTGGGAGGAGTTATGGATCTGTCTTTTTGTTTGGAGTTGGTACCCCCGGTTTGCAAGGGAAATCAATCAACAAATGGGTCGAACCTTACAAAAGACAGACCCGTATGGGACATGGTTGTCTGGTTGATGAACGCGAAGAGCATCACTGCGAATTTTCCTTTGGCCTTTTTCTGGTGTCTCATGTTTTTGCAAGGAGAAGTCGCCTTGAGATTTGTTTGGATGGGGAGCTGGTTTATCCTGGGGGAGTGCATCAAATCAAGCTAACATGCTTTGGGTCACTGTCAGTATCATTTGCGTCGAGAAGGGGTGACTGGGGTAGTATGAATCAACTGGGCTCCCATTGTATACCCCATCTTTCTCTTTTCTGTCAGTTTGAGGCCCTCTCAGAGAATTCGCCCGGTGAACACGCCTGAGATAGCCCCTTTTTCCCTCATTTCGCTAATCCAGAAAGGCCCCTCAGGGGTCTACCATTCTGAGACCAACTATTTCTTGGCTGGCCAAGAATCCCCCCCCGAAGAAAGGAGAAACACGTAACAAACGAAAAAGAAGAAGCCTCTTTTTGGTTTGCCGGTCTTTGGGGTCCAACCAAAGTAGGCCTCGAATCAGTTTGAGGCCGCAGCCGCGGCCTCTGCCACGGTGTCCGGGCTGGAGGCGCCAAGACATCTCTCGGGGAGTAATCTCGTTCCGCGCCGCGCCTTTTGCGGGGGATTTGGACCCCCCCGGGCTGCGACGGGTGGTCCACGTGGCATCTGTTTCCAGGCAGGTACCCTCAAAAAAGCCCAAGTGAGGTTGTCTCAGGATTGGGTGGAAATCCAAATTTCCCCCTGAAGTCCGAGCAAAAGGGGGTCACCGCAATCAAAATCCCGGGGGATTTGCAGGGGACAGTTTCAACCATGTACCGGGTGCGGCAAGAACCGCTTAAAACACCCGGTTTGTACTATGACGCACATCGTCCGAGTTAGGACCCCTCTTTGCAAGGTGTCAGTTGGACCCTTCGGTGGTTTTGCGAAGTTCGGCAAAGGCCTTGAGCCAATTTTCAAGTGAGCGTCCTTGCGGTGTGACTTGTCCATGGATCCGGGGGGACGGGGGGGCTCCAGCGAAAGGTGTGAGATTTGCCTCCGAAAAAGTGGTTGTCTAGATTCCTCCCACGCCGCTATGGCACTTGAAGGGATTTGGTCCCTTGAAGTGGACATTGATCTTCTAGCTTGGTACACAGGCGTGTAGTGGATTCGGAGCGATATGTAGTGCAAGCCGAACGCCACCCTGTTCTGCCAAAAGGCGGGCTTGTGTCTTTATTTCTTTGGGAGCTCCGTTTGCTTGGCTTTTCAAGGGAACTAAAAGGGGTCGCCGACGATTCAAGCAGGGAACCTAACCTCAGAAAGGGTACCCAAACATGACACACCCAAGGGAGGCAACCCTTTCGCGAGGTGATGTTTGTGCCCGCGCGGCACGAGGCTCGGAAATAGCCCGCCTGCCTCGACTCGACTTGGTTCGACTTGGCTCGACTCGGATCTTGGACTCCCGAAAAAAGGCGAATAGCTTCGCACAGTGCAACGAAAAGTCGGGGGTCTCTCTATTTCCCCTTTGGGAGGTTTTGAGTTTTGACCATCCGGTTCGTTCTTTTTTTAGCTGTGATGTTAGGTGAAAATGTCGGGTAGTGAGTAAACAGTTTTTTGTGTGTTTCCAGGTGAAACTCCCCAGCACCAAAAGGGGGTTGGGTTTCGAGCCCGACGCAACTCGGCTTTCGCCGCGGAGTGTCGGTCCCGGAAAAGAACTGCTGTCCCTTTTGTCAGCACGTTGGTTTTCCGTGGTGTTGCTTGCAGACCCCACAATAAAGACACAAAAAGGAACCAACCACCGAAAGTTTGGCAACATGCCAAGAACAGCGAAGTGGGATGTCTATTTTGTAGGTACATCCCCGGGTTTTCATGTGGATCGCGCCAGTCCAAAACAATCATGCGGCTCCTGCTTGGGCCTGTCCTCGCGAAACCGGGTGTCCAAAGCTTGGCAAATCCACATCTGGGGTACACAAAAGCGATGGTGGATGTCTTTTTCCGTTTGGAGCCCAGGAAATTGTGGTTTTCCTCTCGGTTTCCCTTTAAAACCAGCACAAGTCGTACCCTCAAACAAAGACAAATCCATTCGGTTCTGTTTCATACTCAGTGGGCCCAAGAATAAAAGCATCGAATCAAGGCGGCCCCGGAAATGTTTCGGGCCTTGTGGGCGACGGGTGGGTTTCCCTCGTGGCTTCCCTTTAAATCGCTTGGTAAGGCCCAAACAAAAGGCCGAGCAAAAGAGCGAGTTGGAGGCGTTCACGCTCCGACCCCCTTTCATATGACTGCTTCCTTCTGGGAAGCCCCCGCCCAACCAGCCAGCACAAGGATGTTCTCCTTTCCGCTTTCGACATCAGCCGTCGCAGGGGATTCGGCGCTTTGCCACGAATCCGAGCACAACCACCACTACCACCACTACCACCACGACCACGACCACCACGACCACCACGACTAGCACTACACGTATCACCTCCGCAAGCACCACTGGGGAGATCCCAACTTTGGAGCAGCTTGCGACCGCAAGAAGGGAATGGGATCCAGGGTTATGTTCTGCAAGCAGGTCTGCAGACAAGCTCATTGTCCCGAAGCCTGGCTTTGACCAAGGCTTAAAGTAAGTCCCCCATTGGCCTATTGGCCTATTGGATGGGCGTGCTGTCGGAACCCTGATCTCAAACCACGCTTTCGATCCCTTTCAAAGCGCCTGCGAGCGATAGGGTTCCTATCAAAAGGCCAGTACCAAGCCCCCCATACAGCGAGGTTGCCATGGTTCTATGGTTGGAGTCTTTCAATGGAATGTAGCAAATGTACAGATCCGTCCTTTATATCAATGTTACGGTACGTGTTCCCTTGAAAGACGGGTTTGTACGAGGGTGAATGTCTTTGTCGGGTGGGCGTTCCTTTTTAACGGGGCGAGTGCTGCTTTCGTTTCGCGCCAGCGGCGGAGTTTTCACCTGTCGCCTTGAACTCAGGCGGGATCTGGGTGTGTTTTTTGAGGTTGGACCCTCTGAATTGGTGGTTTTCCGTTTGGTTTTTTATTAGAAGCAGTTCCAACAGTTTGAGAAACACCCAGATATGAGGACCCTTCACAGATTTCAGATCCCAGAATTCCGAGCCCCTTCTCAGAACCCCCAAAAGAGGACGCCTTGTTTTTTTGTTTGGTCTTCTTCCCGGCAGAATTTGATGGACTTCAAGCTACCTCTAGCACCGATGCTTCAATGCAAGCATCGCATGCTGCCTTGCCGAACTTGATGCAGCGAACATTTTTCTTTGTCTTGTATCTGACCAAAATTCCCCTTTTTGGTTGTCTTGTATCTAACAAATTTCCCTGCGTGGAAACCAGCCAGGGATCAGGTGCGGTGGAATCTCCAAGCCCGCGCTGTCGATTCGAAAGGGACATGGTTGGGGGGGGCGGGGAAGGTGCTCGGTGCGGCGGGCGGAGGGGGGGGGAGTCGTAGCTTTCTTCAGGCAACCAGCTTGGTAACCCTTGGAGGTATCCACTGGTCGAATCTGATTGATAATGCCCTTACTCTTTGTACCCGTGATGTACCCCTTATCCTTCATGATCTTGCCCTGTCTATATATTCAGCTTTGCATCCTTTGTGTACCTTTCATGCGCCCTTGTTGTACCCCTCATGTACCTTTTCTTGGGTCTTTGGACGGTTGTTCGCGCGAGAGTTCTCTGAGAAGAGCCCCGGTCTCGTGACGAAACAATCCGAGGCCTTCCGCGAGTGTGGGCGGCGCAGCTTGGCATCGAGATGGGAGAATAATTTTCGTACTCCGTGAGTTCCAATTTTCGGAAAACGCAATGGGTAGTGGTCAAAAACGTTTTGGGATCCCATTTTGGGGTAGGTGCACCACCCATTCTAGAACCTATTTTAGTGGGGATTGGGATGTTGAGAGAACACTTGGCCCGAGAATCCAAGAATCCGAGAACCCGTTTGGGCAGATCAGCCCTTGGTTTTTGGCTCGCTCTCCAAAAATGGGACGGCCATGATTTTTTTTGGCACGGAAGTTGGGGCCTGGCAAGTCCAGGAAGTGAGTTGGGATCACTGCAACTTGAGCGCTACCCTCCCCAGCTGTGCGGATCAAACCTGAGACCTCACTGCCGAATGGTCTGCACTTCGCCGAACATCTGGGCGAAACTTACGTGCAAAGAGGGCGGGGATCTTTGTCGGTCTCACCTGCAAAGGTTTCTCGTACAGGGAGCCCTGAGTTTGGGTTGCTCACTGAATGTTTGCATCGGATTATTCCGGAGGACCCGGCTAGTTGGTGGACCTCCAAAACCAGATCATTTCCTTCCTAAAGCAAGACACCCCTGTACGGTCCTCCGGATCCCGAAGTTCACATTATATCATTACATACTGGATTAAGGATAATATTATGATATATAACAATCATTATACATTCTATATAACAATCATGATCATTATATCATCATACATTATATCAATCATAGTATATTATCATTCCCGGGGGTTCCATTTACGAGAAACTTGGGATTCCCGGTGTCCCCGAACTCCAGGTATCGACTGGAGCAGTTTCCGTTGTTCAGTCCTGTGAATGATTGACGAAAGGCCCAGCCATAGTGTCAAGCGCGTCATCCATGGCCAAGGATTTTGACCCACAGAGGTGACCGTGGGTCAAAATCCATGGTACCATTTTGGGGTAGGTGAATTCACCACCGATTTTAGAACCTATTTTAGCGGGGATTGGGATGTTGACTGGGGGTATGGCCATGTGACCGTTGGTCTCATTTTCTCCGCAAAACGTGAGGACATAACCAATTCTCCCATGTCCTAGGGAAAACCTGGTAGAGACCGTTCCCCGAAGCTGAAGCCACGATAGCCAAGTCCAAAGCAGCTATCAAGAATCGCTATTTAACGTGTTTAGGCTAATTGCTAAACACACCAATCGCTCATCTTGGCATCATGGCTACTTGGCAGCAAACATTTGTTCGTTTTGCAGAACATCGCCACTTTGACCTCCGGAGGTCTTAGAGTCTTTCACTCGGTTCCCGGCGACTGGGGCATCAGTGGATTCGAAAGCTCGAAACGTGTAGAGAAATCCTGCATCGCGAAACATCCGTTATAAGGGGCTAGACACTTACCCGCATTGCTGGCTTCAGATGACTCGCGAGGCCGCCATGATGTTTGTGGTGGCGGTTCAGATGAACTTCGAGGCGTCCAATGGTAGAGGTTGAGAGGTGGCATGGCAAACCCGGCCTGTGGGTTTTCAACACCCCAAATCTTGCACTGGGTTTTTGGCGACTGTGAGGTTTCTTTGGTACCTCAAAGTGTTTGTTCTTGGTTGCTTTTCAGAAAGGCTGTTTGCTCGAGAGTTCTCGAGGCTGCATCATCCCCCAAAGAGTTGGAGACCCATGAGCAATTTCGCCCTGAGCCAAAGTAACATGTTTAATTGGAGGCTCACATTCTACCACAACGCGCATGTACGGGATGCCAGCCTTCAAGGTCTACTGTTGTGTATCCCGGAGATTGTGGCTTGACCACCCGCTGAAGCTTTCACCTATGAACCACAGCTGCAGTCCCTACAAAGGATCGTCTCACGAGGGTTTCTGCACAAACGATTGGTATCAAAGTATCAGCTTGGGACAACGGAGCTCAGCCATGCGGGGCCTCAAACTCACTCATGAAGGTCCGTTTCTTTTTTTTTGGGGGATCCCTTTCCAGCTTGGAACCTTTTGCGAACCTCTTGAAAAGGAACAATCAAGGGCATCCAAAGCCTTTTTTTTTTTTTGCGGGGGGTTTCTTTTCTCACCCATTGCAAGAGCCCTTGAAAGGCGTGTTTCTATGCATATGGGGGTGTCTTCAGTTGTGGGCCCTCCTGTGTATATCTATATACATGTACATACACAGATTGTTTACATGTACATTCCTCCCTATGACAACATGGACATGCATCTATTTCTCATTCGCATAGCTGTCCAAGGACACACACCCTGCCAACTTACATGCAACCCACCGCGACATCCCGAGACAAGCTAGGTGTCTGTCAGGTTCCCTTTGTGGCTTGGAATGAGAAAGGCCAACATTGACCAAAAGGCGGCTCCGTTCAGGGAAGAAAAGGAAGGCTCTCTCCCAAAGTTCACAAGTAAACACAACCAAGAAAACCATGAGAACCACACAAAACTACTCAACCCCCTCAAACTACCCAACACCACCAAAACCCCTCCAAACCTTTCAAATCAGACCCTCAAAAGAGCCACCAGAAACCACTCAAACCCAACACCACAGCCCCAAGTACCACCTGAAAATGCCCTTCCGGTAGGACCTGGATGCCTTCGATGAGCCCAAGTACCTCGAGGCCTTCGCGAGAACCGTCCGCCTGCCCAGGCGCGGATCCGAAAATTTGGGTGAGAGCCCGAGCGACGCCGATGGCTGGAAGCCAAGCCAAATGGGTGTGGGTCGAAAGTGGATCCACCTATGTCTGTGCTCTTTTTTTCAGGCTGGACCCAAAGTCCCCAGGGATCTTTCGGTTTGCCCTGTGTGCCTAAGGTTGGAAACATGGATTTTGGTTGGGCCTTTTGGTTTCCAGCAGCTTTCCTTCCCGGCAACTGCTGCGATCCCATTTTTTTTTTTTAAAGCATACGTGCCAAATGGAGGTTTTTTTCCAGCAGGAACCCAACTTCTTGCAAAACATATATGTGGGCACCCCCTAATTTCTAGGATCCGTAAAGTGATGAGAGAGGGGGGCATATGCTGAGGTTCTGTACTAGCATGGGCGTTGTCTGAAACACTACGTCAGGTTGGACACTCAATTTTGTGCGGTGGGATACTTGGAGGTGTGCAGGCTGATATGGCAGCTGACAATAGTTATAGGTTGTCTGTTGCTTTGAGGAGGACCGGCAAGGACCTTCACAAGGTCGCCGATTCCGGGAGAAAAAGCGCCGAGCGTCCCATCCCAACGCTTCACGGCGACTTTTTGTTTGTTGGGGTGGAGCCGGATTCGGCAGGAACAGCGTCACAGTTGTGCAGACGGAGTACCGCACTGAGGCCGGGTGTCGAAACGGGCGGAGAAGGGGGCGCGTTCGGCGCCTTGAACTTGGACAGCCCTCCGGTCGGACCTCAGGAGCATTTGGCGGGCCTTTGGTTCTATCCCTGGCACCTTCCCGCGTTTGTGATTTTGGAGGGCGGTTTGGGTTTTTGCCCTATCTACCACATGGGTCGACACCACATGTCCGGCTTTCGGGACCCCTTGCATGTAAGGCAGCACTTAGGGTTCAAACAAAGGGCAACTTGTTTCGGGGCAAATTAGTTCACTGGCGTAAACCGAGCTCGGAGTGCCTTACATGTGCTTCCTCATTATCATTTTTTGAGGAGGAAATTGCCGGGATTCTTGGCTCAATTTTCCGCCTCATGTATTTCATTTGCGGGGCGTTGACGAGGTTGCCATTAGCTCCAAGAGAAACCTCCCGTTCTTCTTTGACAGATTGGCTGGGGTCAAGCCCGACCGACCAAAGCGGGCTGCCACTGTTGGACCACGTTGCCCCCGTTGCCCGCGTTGAACACCAACTCGCCTTTTCTTTCGCAACACCACAACATCCTCAACAAACACCGAAATGCAAGAAACCACTGAGAAACACGAAACAGCCAGAAACAACACCCATACCCCAAAAATACCCCAAAAACCCGTGGCCCATACCCCAAAAACCACCCAGAGCCTGTCGCCGAATTTCTTCGAGACGCACAGCGCAGGCGACCTACGTGGTGCCGCGGCTGCTGAAAGCGGAGCAGCTGCGAAGAAGCTTAGCGCAGGCGCCTCGCGGGGGTTCCATTGGGACATTTCCAGTGGGGGCGCCAAAAGAAGGGCCCCAAAAAAACGGTTTTCCCACAAGGAGACTGTTCGAAGTATGGGGAACTCCCTTTTGGGGATTTCCCCGACGAAAGGTTCCCATCTCAACATGGGGCGGGTTTTGGGTTCTCTTTTGGCCACGGGCGGCCACGGCTGCCCGGGGGTCTGGTTGCGACTGCGACGCGGCTCCGAGTCGCGCCAGGCGCTGGGGGTTCCCCTCTTCGCGGTGGAGGTGACCAGACCGGGCCGCCGCCTGCAGGCCTTCGAGCTGGCGGACAGCTGAGGGTTTCCCCTTGGGGTGGCTGTGGTGGTCAAAACCGTTGTGGTTGATCCCATTTTGGTTGGGATTGGGGAATTCACCACCCATTCACTGGGGGTACGGGGTTTTGACCCATGGCCAAGTGGATTTTGAGGCGTCTTCTTTCGAGATTCAGGGTAAGGATGGAAAGTAACACGGGCTTTGTTTGAGAAAGCCAGTTCTTTTGAGGTGAGGGATGGAAAGTAACACGGGCGGGCGTCCTTTAAGAAAGCCAGTCAGGCAGGCTATCTGATCCGTTGAGAAAGCCAGGTTGGTCAGCTCAACCCACCCAGGTGTCCGAACCGGATTTTGAATTGGCTGAAGCAGAGGTCATTTGAATCTTGGGGCGCGAGTGCCAGAACGACCCTGAGGGGTTTGCCTTATTTCACAGGCAGCACCAGAATCCAACCCACTGACCGGTTGGATGCGGCTTTCTGGGGCTACCTTCCCCATTCTTTCTACAATACCTCCGCAAACCCAGGGAAAAACGGCCGGTTCTTGGAAAGAGAAGTAAAAGAGTACAGGGGTGTCTGGAAGTGGTGGGCTTCACGGAAGAATCGCATCCCAAAACGTTTCCTAGAACCAACACAAAAGTCACAACTCGGACATCTTGGCATACAACTTCCAAAGTGCAAACTCTGGAACGACCATGAACAAACAAACTCATTTTTGTTTGTCCTTCTCGGATACACAACAAACAACCTAACCACCAATCTTCTTCCATTTGCTCAAGCACACATCTCCTTTTTTCTTTTCCAGGACACCGAAGCCAATGGCCCATGTTTGGGCGAGGATCATCCCTGCCCCCGGGTTTCCGACTGCCCGCCAAGCGCGAGGCGGGGTCCTCGGGCGCCGCCTTCCGCGCCGCGGTGACCACGGAGGACGCGACGCGCGCAGCGCGCTTCGCGGCGGTGCTGGGGCAGCCGGGCGAGGCGCGCGCGGAAGCGCGTGGCCGAAAGCCGAAAGCCGAACGCCGTGGGGGTGGGCTATGGGTGGTCCCTATGGGTTTCTGATGGATCGTTCTTTGGTTTTCCCAATGGTTTTGCCTGGGTGCGATGTATTGTTTTTGGTTTTCCATGGGTGTCCTAAGGTATGGTGCTACTGCAGATGGACAAAATCCATTTCGCATCACTTTGAACCACGGTTGAAGCCAGTGCTTGTTGGTATTTTTGCAGGGGGATCATCATTCCGGGATTTCTTAGGTGGTGCGAAATGGATTTCGTCCATCCACAGTATGTATTTTTTTGGTTTCTATGGATGTCCTAAGGTAAGCTTGGCTTCTGTGGCATTTTGCTTGGTCTGCCCTGACTCGTGTTCTCTGTGGTGTTTGGTATATTTTGCGGACATGGGATCGATCCCAGGTATCAGATTTGGTTTTTGTGGGTTTCCTATGGTGTTCATCTTGAGTTTTCCCTATAACCTCCCTTGGTTTCTATGGTGTTTTGTTTCCCCTAAGGCCGTGTTCCCTATGGCTTCCCTATGGCGTTCCCCCCAAAATAAGGGGTCTTCCCTATTGTTTCTGGTTTGATACCAACCATTTAAGGGTACCCTCAAAGAAAGATGGACCTATGGGCTCCATTTGCTATGTGGGCCTGGTTCCTTTTGTTGAGGCTGCCCCAACTTTCCTGGTGGGTTTTAGATGGAAATCAACCGGAAAACTGAAATCCATTCGGTCCGAATCCTAAAAGCCAAACCCTGAGACGCATGAGCTTGGTTGTCTCAGCGTATCCTATCATGCAGGCTTATTCAGGAAGTATTCCGACCGAATTGCCCAGAGCCCACGAGGAATGTGTGGCTCGCATGGAATAGCACATCCCGAATGAGTTTCCATCTCCATTCCCATATCCGCGATGGCTCAAAACTGATTTGCGGGTTGTCCTGCGCATCAAAAGGCCCCTGCTAAGCCTCAAGCTGTGGTTTCCTAAAATCCATAGGTTTTACACCCTCCAACATGGTTCATTTGTGCAAACCCAGGTTTAACCTTGAACTCAATAGATTTCTCAACATGCAACCAATGGACCCACCTTTTCGAATTTGCTTGACACACAGGGGTCCAGCCTCGTTGAGACACATTCATGTGGGTCTGGCTTTGAGTCCCCTTTTTTTCCGGGTTTTCAGGGGAAACCAAATGGATGTGGAGTCCCCCCAATGACACAGCCGTAACATCTCCTGAATTTGGCGTTTGGTTTTGGTTTCGCTTTGAATTGCGGCAAGGCTCCGAATATTGAGGAGCACCCAGTATTTCCCCCCCTCCCCCCGTTCGGTGGTTTTTAACGTCGCAGGTTTTGGTCGCTGCCTTCATCAGTAGGCAACCTTTTCCACTTGAACTCCCCCTTCCCCTCGCCCGTTAAGGAACCTTTTCCCCTTGGACCCCTCCCCAAAAAGTCGAATCCGTCGAGCCACAGCGATCGCCATTTTGCCCAGGTGGTGAACGCCATGCGCCGCGCGGGCCTGGCGGCGCTGCCGCTGGAGCTGCAGGCGTGGCCCCTGTTGGGTCTCCCTGGCTCGGGTCACTGGGTGCGTTGGATGTTTTGGTACGCCTGGGTCACGCAAGTTTGTTTTTTTGCTGGGAACCGAGCAAATCATGCAAAGTCTTGGCTTCCTTAGTTGGCGGTTTTGGTATGCACACGGCTTCCTTACTTGGCGGTTTCAATGGGACCTGAAAAGAAGATGCAAAGCCCTGGCTTTTGAGTTGGTGATGGCAGGTCAGGGGACCCCAAGTTGGTTGGATTGCTGGGAACTGGAGAACTGCACCCCTGGCTTTGGTAGAAGGTAATTTGGACTACCTAACCTCCAAATCAATCAAACCCACCAAACAGCGGGTAATCTAGCAGGGGGAAGTGGAATGAAAAGTACCGTTTGGAACTGGTGAATTCCTCCTGGCTTTGGTCGAGGGTAGATTAGAAAGCCTAAGCTCCAAAACCAATCCGAACCAAGGGCGAAGCTGATTACTTGCGGGTGGCTCTTGTGCTTTTGCACTCATCAGCTTTTGGGGTCGTCTATGTATGATTTGACCCAGACTTGGGCCAGCTCAAGCAACTCACCTTTGACCTCTGAATGCTTGCAAAGCACGCGCTGGTAAACGGGGGGAGGGAGGGAGGGAGGGGGAACATGCGCAAACCTTGGGTTGTTTTCAGTGTTTCTTGTGTGGCTATGAGGGTGAATGGTTGGAACTTTGACGAAAGTGGACACAAATCCCAAAATAGCTGTCTCCATTTTTACAAGCAGTAAATATGGTTGCCCCGAACCTCGTATTAGAGTCATTTTTTGGTTCTTCGCACAAGTGCAATAGCCGAGGTTTCCCTCTGAATTGGCTTGGACTCCTGTCTTGCGGGACCGGCTCGCCTGCTTCAGTCCGATGCAGATTCAGCGAATGACCCGCGCCAATGGCCTCCAAGTGAACATCAAAAACTGGGCGGCTTGGGTCAACACGTGGCTTGCTTTTGCCCAGCCAACGAGCAGGGATAGGGCACATATTCATTTTTCAAGACAAGGCAGGAAACATATCCATTTGGCCAAAGAAGAGCGGCGGGGAGGTTTTCTTCCCATCGCCAGACCTCCGCCCTCTGAAACTCTCGCCAGGGGGCGCCCTGGGCATCCGTAGTTCTCCACACGGAGTTAGCGCCTTGCAGCGGAGTCGAGTTTCTATGTCCCAACCCATTCTCTTGCTGGTGCGATAGGCCGGGAATGAGCCCCAAGAAGAGCCATGAAACTGGTGGTTTCCTTTCAGGGGACCAATTCCTGGGTTCATTCCCACATTTCCTACCTATCGCACCAGCAAGTTAATGTTGACCCCGGATGAATAAACCGCTGTTTATGAATATGGGGGGTGCTCCACTCCAAAAGTGAATCCCCACCAAAACCAGGGGCACCCCTCATATCAGCAAACAGGGGTTTATTAATCTGGGGTCAACAATAGCTTTCGAAGTAAGCCGGAAGTTCTGCAGGCAGTTAGCAACCAAAACCCTGGTTTTGGGTTGGTGTTTGGCTAGGTTCTGCTAGGAGCTTGTACGATGACTAGCCAGTTGCTCCTGTGTGCTAGTAAGTACCGCACTTCACAGCCCCATTCGGATCACTGCGTTCTCGGTAGTATGCTTCAGTTTAGGCTCATTCTAGCTCCTTCCCTGAGAAGCTCGATTCTTTCAGGCTTTTTTTTGGAGTGAGTGCGTTGGTTTTTATTTGCGGCTCCTCATCTTGAGGTTGGAAAAACACGAAAGAGAAGACCTCCCGTGTTCGGTCCATGACTGCACAAGCTGTGGGTCCTAATTTGTTTTGACCATTTCAACTGACGTGGACATATGGCTGTGGTTGTCAAAATCGTTTTGGGATCCCATTTTGGGGTAGGTGAATTCACCACCCATTTTAGAACCTATTTTAGTGGGGATTGGGATGTTGACTGGGGTACGATCTGGATTTGGACCCATGGCCATATGCTTTTCGGCTTGACCAATGCAATACCCATGTCTTTAAGCCGTCCCCAATTTCCCGCGACTGCCATGGGAGCTTTGAGCTAAAGGGCACCCTGATCGGCGGAAGTGAGAGTGGACCTTTGAGCCCGGACTATTCTATGGCCTCATCGAAATCGTGGCCTCGAAATGCGTTTTCACCACTTGGGTTCCGTTTGGAGGCAAATGGCTTACGCCGACTCCCGGAGTGAACTCGTGCAGACAGAAAGAAGAAGCAGAAGGGGCCAGGCTCTTTGATCAGCTGGTCTTCCTATTTTCAGCTTTTCGAAAGACGCCTGGTGCAAAGCCACTTGGTTGGTTTGGCGCTCTGAGTTGGTGAATTTATTTGGAACGGGGCAACGGAAAGTGGTTCAACCTGCCTGAAGTCCTGCAAAGGGGTATTTCAGAAAGGGTCGCCCGGTTGAGTCAGGATGATGGCGAGGCCTAAGCCTTTGCCAGCTTTCTTTTTTCCCCAACAGCTGAAAGCTTTGGGGTCTCAGCCCAGATAGGCTCTGGGGTGGTCCGGGGCGGCCCTGAGGTAAGGTTCCACGAGGGTTCCACCAGGGTTCCATGAGGGTTCCACCAGGGTTCCACCAGGGTTCCACCAGGGTTCCACCAGGGTTCCACCAGGGTTCCACCAGGGTTCCACCAGGGTTCCACCAGGGTTCCACCAGGGTTTTCCAGGGTTCCACGAGGTTCTGCGAGGGCTGAGGGGTGGTGTGAGCACTAAAAACAGCACCGCATGCTGTTGGGGATATCACCTGAGCTTATTTTTTCTCCTTTTTTTCCCCAACAGCTGAAAGCTTTGGGGTCTCAGCCCAGATAGGCTCCGGGGTGGTTCGGGGCGACCCTGAGCTAAGGTTCCACCAGGGTTCCACCAGGGTTCCACCAGGGGTTCCACCAGGGTTCCACCAGGGTTCCACCAGGGTTCCACCAGGGTTCCACCAGGGTTCCACCAGCGTTCCACCAGGGTTCCACCAGGGTTCCACCAGGGTTTTACCAGGGTTCCACCAGGGTTACACCAGCATTCCACCAGGTTCTGCAAGGGCGATGGTTTGAGGTAAGGTTCCACGAGGGTTCCACCAGGGTTCCACCAATTTCTTCGACGAGGGTTCCGCCAGGGTTCCACCAGGGTTCCAGGCTGCGGGGTGGTCTGGGTGGTTTGAGGTAAGGTTCCACGAGGGTTCCACCAGCACTGCAGGGGTGGTTTGAGGTAAGGTTCCACGAGGGTTCCACCAGGGTTCCAGCAATTTCTTCGAGGGCTGGGGTGGTCTGGTTTGACACGAGGGTTCCAGATTTCCACCAGAATTGTGCCAGGGTTTGACGAGGGCTGCAGGGTGGTCCGAGGTGGTTTGAGGTAAGGTTCCACGAGGGTTCCACCAGGTTTCCACCAGAATTCCACCAGCCCGTCGTGCTCCGGACAAGGGTTCCACCAAAGTTCCACCACTTTCTTCGAGGGTGCGGCGTGGTGCGGGGAAGGTTCCACGAGGTTCCACGAGGGTTCCACCAGGGTTTCACCAGGGTTCCACCAATTCCACTAGAAATCCACCAGGTTTTGCAAGGTAAGGTTCCATTGCACGGTTCTAGCAGGGTCCCACAAGGTTCTGCAAGGGCTGCGGGGTGGTCCGGGGAGGTAAGGTTGTATGAGGGTTTCAGGGTTCCACAAGATTCTGCGAGGGCTGTGGGCCCTGAGGTTTCACAGGGTTCCACAAAGCTCTGCAAGGATTCCACACGGGCTCCACAAGGATCCAATGCTCCACCAAGGGTGTGTCGTGCGCCCGTCGTCTTAAAAGCCATCGGATCAATATCGCTTTGCTCATGGGCGGAACACTAAGCAAAACCGAAATCAATGGTTTTTAGCACACTTTCACTGTTTTGTGACTTGCTCACTTGCTCGGGCAAATGTTGGCTTTGTGGCAATTCCAAGAATTCCACGAGGCTGCGAGGGCTATGAGGTCAGAAGGTTTCCACCAAATTCTGCAAAAACTGTGGGGCGGCCCTGAGGAAAGGTTCCAGCAAAGTTTCACGCTGAGCTCCACGAAAGTTGCGTGAGAACGGTTTGCGAGGTTCACCGGGCCTGGGCGGGGCCCAATTGCACTGTCGGGGACCGCCCGATTGCACCGTTTGCCCCGATTGCGCCATCGCGCCCCGATCGGGGCCCGTCAATTGTACCAAGCTGGCGTCGCCTAGTTTCCGCATACTAAGGAAAACCGGCGATGAGCCATAATATGGGTGGCCGGGGTTGCACCACGGGACGATCGGGGCCCGATTGCACCGTCGAGCCCCGATCGGGCCCCGATTGCGCCGTCGAGCCCCGATCGACCCCGATTGCGCCGTCGGGCCCCGATCAGGGCCCGACTCAGTCGGGCCCCGTCAATTGTACCAAGCTGGCGTCGCCTAGTTTTGCTATAGATACAATCCGCTATAATATGGGTGGCTGGGGTTGCACCACGGGACGATTCGGGCCCGATTGCACCGTCGGGCCCCGATCGGGCCTCGATTGCACCGTCGGGCCCCGATCGGGCCCCGATTGCGCCGTCGGGCCCCGATCAGGGCGAGCTCGTAGCTTTGCTTTACAAGGCGGCATCCTCAGCAACACCGGCGGTGAGGATGGTCCCGGGGCGTTCCGCGAGGATGCTGGGAGGGTGTGGTGCTGTTGGGGATATCGCCCGAGCTTATTAAAATAAAAAAATAACAAAATATAAAGCAACTAATAATAATAACAATCTCTTCGCCGAATATTTTCAGGTCCTTGACGTGTGAGATGTGCTAGCCTCTCCGCCTCTACTGGTCTGGGGATTGTCCTAAGCGGGCCGGCCTTTACTTGGTCCCCCAGTAGTGCCCTTTTGCCCGTATTATTTGGGGGAGGGTTCCCCTACTAAAATGGACTACAGAAAAAAGGTTGGTACCCTGATTCTGACCTCTCTGGAGGACCTAGCTGGTTTTGAGGGGCTCACAAGACCTGCAGGTGCGGGTCCCATGAGGAGATTTCGCCACCCTTGGACCCCAAATGACTCCTCCCTGGGAAGCCTAGAGGGAAGACCCACTGTCATGGGTTCCAAGAAACTGGTTCCAATCGCAGGACATGTGGTCAAATGGGCATTTTGTTTGTTTGTACCCTTTCCCACCTTTCAAAGGGAAAGCAGGAACGAACATCGAAGACATTTTTCGGGCCCCGATCCCTTTGATTCACACCCACATTGTTTTTGCGGGTTCGCTCTTTTGGTCCGTTTTCAGGGATCCCCAAGGACCAGGTTCCCCTTTTCGGTCTGCAAAGGGAAGCCAAGGAAAACCGCAATCTGGTCGGGGTCCCCTAAAAAGACACCCACGTGGCGACGGATCTCGGATCCTTCAGGCACTGCCGCCTGAGAAAGGGGAGCCGGCGGTGCGGGGCCTGTCCAAAGAGCCCCTCGGCTGCGCGTCTTTTTCTGGAACCCCTCGGATGGTGTGGGTTCCAATGGGCTCTCCCTTTTTCGGCGGCCGGGGGGCATGCCATCTCAAGCGCTTGACGCTCTTTTTCTGGTTGGGGCCGGGGCCCTGTCAACTACCAGGGCGCCCCAAAAGGTGGCCCCTTGCGCGAGAGGCCAGGGCGAAAAGGAACAGCCCAGGCCTTTGCCCCAAGGCCTGGGATCGAGGGTCCCGATCAGAACAGGGGGTCAAGGCACCGATGGTTGGTGGGTTTGGAGCGGTTGTTTGTGGTGGATCTCCGGCTTTGGGTGTCCTTTTGGAATCTTTGGCAACACCGTCAAAATCCAAATCCCGTACTTTCAGTGAATATCCCGATCCAACCACTAAAATGGGTTCTAAGATGGTGCACCTAGCCCATTATGGGATGCACAACGGTTTTGACCACCACGGCCAAGTGACGACCAGCTGAACCCCCGTGGTTTTTACCTCGGAGAAGGAGGGGGAATGGCGAGGCTTAGCCGGCAGCTGGGGGTAGACGTCACCGCAGATGTGCTGGGAGTGCGGCAGGTGCGGAGGGTTCGGTCTCATAAACTGATGGGGGCTGGGCTGGGTTCACTGCCAAGCACGGATTGCTGGCTAGTTGGTTGGTGGGTTGGTTGGTTGGTTGGTTGCTTGCTTGCTTGCTTGCTTGCTTGCTTGCTTGTTTGCTTGCTTGCTTGCTTGCTTGCTTGCTTGGTCGATTGGTTGGTTGCTTGCTTGCTTGGTCGATTGGTTGGTTGCTTGGTTGCTTGGTTGGTTGGTGGATGGGCGGATATTGTTGGCTGTCTGGCTGGCTGTCTGGCTGGCTGGCTGGCTGGCTGGCGCTTAGTCGGTTGGCCAGTCGGTCGGTTGGCTGGTTGGTTGGTTCGTGTATCATTGGCTCTTTTCCTCGGGGGTTTTCTCTTGCGGACTGTACCTTTTAGCCCATGCTTCCTCTCGGCCTAGTGATGTTTGGGCAGACTTATCGGCAGCCCTTGGAAGGGTAGAAGCTTTTAGGGCTGCATGGTGTTTGCTCCGCTTTTCTCGGTTTCGCAGGCTGCTGGTTGGTTGATGTTGGCTAGTCTTTTCAAGTGGCTTCTGTTGAGAGTCACGTGGGTTGAAACAGCTCGAGGACCACCGTCCAAGGAGCAGATAGCCCAAAATTCCGCGGGTCGGAGGAAAGGCAACAGAAGAACATAACAAGAATGAATATCCACGGCAATGCTTCCGCCCGTGTTAACCGTTTGAAGGGATGCCGTGTCGCCCAAGTCAACTCTGCCAGCGGACTCGAAAACCGCCACGTGGATGTTCGGTCAATGTAGATAGTGGTTAGCCATTCGGGTTATAACCCACAGATAGTAAGATTAACCCCCTTAAGGGGGACTTGCAACTGGGTTATATCCTAAACTTAGCTTGCTTAGCTGGTGGTTGGAAGGCATTCCCCGGCCAAAAGTTCAAGCTAACCCTTGGCCAAAGGTTCGCAACGCACGCAGGTACAGGAGCAAGAGCTGCTGGGCGCCCCCCATGGGCCAGCGGCCGCCTGGACGCCGTCCCCGGCGCCGCCTGTTGTGTCCACAGCGGCGCCGTCCCCGGCGCCTTCGCAGCCGGCGCCGTCCAGGCGGGGGAAATTTGCGACCAGGACGCCTATGTGGCTAGGTCCCCCAGCTGGGTGCCTTTTCTCACCCCTTTTTTGGTTGGGAGGGTTCCCCTATTAAAATAGAGTGCAGAAAGAAGTTGGTACCCTTATTCTAACCTCTCTACTGGAGGACCTAGGTGGGGGCTGGGGAGAGAAAAGGAGGCTGGCCAACACTGGTGATGCCAAGTCGAGGCTTTTGTCTTGCCCAGCCCCGGAGGTCTAAGAACCCAGCATCTGTGGTTTGTTCAACTTGCCCTTAGACCGAGGGCGACGTTTGCGGAGGGCGAAGCCGGGCGGCTGCCACTGCAGGCGGCAAAGGCGGGGGGGGGAGGGGAGCTCGGAAGGGGGAGTCGGCCTGTTGGTTGAACATAGACTTAGAGTTTCACCGGTTTCAGCTTGGTTCAGTTGGTTCGAGTTGAATTCGCAGTGCCATCTGCTTTTCCAAAAGGACACCTAGGAAGGGTGGATGCCGTTGTTACCTCCATTTTCTGCTTTTATAGGGAGCATCCTCAAACATAAAAAGTGGATAATCCCATGCCAATGATGTTTACCAAAGGGTGCTGAAGAGTAACATTCAGTTGGCACATGGCTGTGCCCCAATTGTGGCCCACCCCATTGCCCAAAATCTCCAGTTGTGTGGTACCTATTCGTTGCTTTGCCAACGGAATAGTTACTCACTTTGTCTCCAAGATAGGAATTGGTCCCCTCATATGGTTGGTGTTCAAACGTTTGGTTTCCTTTTCAACACCAACCCACACAGGGTCCACCATTGGAGAAACTGCCATTTAATGTTCTTCTTTTCTGCGCGCTGGCCCACAAGTGTTGACACCATCACCGTCTCTTCTCTCGGCTCCGAACATGCCCACTTCGTTTTCCTCGTTTGCTGAACATCACCCCCAAGTGCAACCTGAGAGACCGAAACAAGTTTTCGCCTCACACAAGACACCTTCGAAACCGGTTCCGCAAACAAGCCGCAGCAGGAAAAGCCAAACACCTCGGGCGACTGGTCCGAACCGGGGGAGTCAAAACTTGCTGGTGCTCAGTAGGGAATGAACCTGGAAATTCCCTTAAGGGAAACCAAATCGGGAATGGTTTAACAAGGTCATTCCATTTCTCAGTCCCTGCTTATTGCACCACCAAAAACAAAAAGAGCAACGCTCGGGCGCAGGTCCGCCACAACAACCTCGGGGGCGCGCGCGCGGGGCGGGGGCCGCTTGAGCTGCGGTACGGCGGGGTGGGTTCCGCGGAGGGTGTCCCGCTGGACGTCGCCGGGGGGCCCAAGCCATGCGTTCGGTTCGGGTCGGGTTTGGTCGGGTGCACGAGGGCCGGTGTTGGGGTTCAATGGTTGGCCATTTGGAACACTACCTTTTCCGCCAGGCCACAAGGACACTTTTTTTTTAATATTTTTTTTTTGGGGGGGGGTTCAAGCTATGAGAACCCCTGTTTTCCGTAAAAACGTGAGGGTCGCATGCTTGCGAAGACATGTTATTATGTGTTGGCTGATTTTGCCAACTTAAGAAATATGGTTGCAAGAATCTACATCTTGGCTTGGCGATGTTGCAACAAGTCGAAGGGAGGCGAGTCCAAAGGAGGGGAAGAACGCGTGTCCGCTTGAACATGTTGAGCGGTTTGGGTTCTTAAGCGTATCTTTCAGGTTCACCGCTCTTCTCAGTGTCTCTAGCCATTTTCAGTGGGGGCGATTTTGTGTTCGGTTCTATCCATTTCTTCTCAGCGGAGCGCTTTGGTGCGCAATTGCGCGCTTCAGCTTCGGGGGTGCTTCGGAGCAGCTTTCGTTTGGAGGGTTCCGGAAGGAATCCAGGGTGCTGTTGTTAGTTTGGGGGCTGTTGGGGATAGCCTATGCTTGTCTTCTTCTTCTTCTTCTTCTTCTTTTGGGAGTTTGGGAGTGGCTGCAAAGAACAGAGACCGCTGTGAGGTGCTGCGGGTCATGGGCGGCACGTACCAACCCGCCATCAACGGCCTCACCGGGGGGCAGGGCCATCACTTCGCGGCCTCGGTGAATGCGCCTCGCGGGAAACGGCTCGGCGATTTTCTCAACATCCCTCGAGTGGCCTGTTACTTGTTTCCTTTGGGTTTCTCCTTGAAGCTATTCGACAGGGGGTCCGAATCTGGTTTGTAACATCACCTTGTTTGGGGACCCTACATTTTTTGGTGGTTTTCAACACCTTCAAAGGGCCCTTTTTGGTGAGTTTCCCTTGGGAGGAATATTTTAGGTTGGAACCCAAAAGGAAGGCTGGGCACTTGAGGCCCGTCGATCCCCCTTTACTTGGTTTTCGTTTGGGACGCAAGTACACCCGCGCAGTCGGGGAGGGTCTAACACTCCACATGTGAGGGACTCACTTGAAACGCACTTTTCTCCAGAAGCCGGAGCATGCAAGAATGAACAACGGCCACTTTTGAGACCTCAAGGGGTTGGTTTCCTTTTGGCTTCCCTAAAACAACCCACGCAAACCTACCTCCTCAGCTTATGAGACACACCTAGCTCTTGCTCAGGTTGCCGCCGGCACGTCCGTGGATCTGCAGATCAGCTTAGTCTCGAGTCAGGCGATCTCGAGATCTTCCTGGGGCTTAGGGTCGGTTTCGAGTGGGAGGGTGGGTTTGGGGCAGAGTATGCGGTTTTTGCACATTACCGTTTGCTGGTAGTGGGTGAATGAGGGAATCTTCCCTATTCGCCATCGCCCTGTGGTTTCCTTGAAGCGGATTTATTGGTTCATGAACAAATTCAGCTGACTCCCTACTGAGAACCAGCCAGTTCTTAGACCGAACTTCACCAATTTCTCCAAATTTCCCGGGTGATTGGAACAAATGACCTTTGCCATGCCTCGATCCCCCAGACCCCAAAGTCCCCCAGCTTTCTCATTTCCCAGCGGAACATTCGTACTGTATGGGCGAAATCCGGATCACATGAAATCCTGATTTTTCTCAGCCACCAACTGGAGCAGGATCTCGTCCACAGAAGTTTTGTTGTTGCGCATTTCTCTCGGTCGTTTCGCCTGGACTCGTTGCGCAACGGGGAGCATGGAAGGCGCCGTCGGCGAAAGTGCGGCGCATCTACTTGCAGGTCTTCGACATCGAGGATCGAGCGATATCGAAACAGCCCATCGGTTCCTTTGACTTTTTTGGGGGTGGCCAGGCCAAAGAAGACGGGGAGGGGGGGGGGGGGGTGCTTGCTTGGTTGTCTTGCTGGGGGAGGGCTTGATTCCTTTTCTCTTGTTTTGGGATGGGCTTTCTTTGAGGTCGGAATTGGTGCGCAACCGATTTGGGCCCCATCACATCACGGGGACTCCCACTCATTCACCAGCTCCAACATGTCTGGTTGGTGTTTTATTCCTCGTCTGCCTTTGAAAACCAAAAGGAAGCGCATGAACCGAACCAACCACAAGGGGTCTGAATCCTCCCTCCCGACAAAGGCGGAGCCCAGTTCGAAGGGCCTTCGCAACCCGGAAAAAATCGCGCCTCTCTGCGCATGGCTTAGATGCGCTCAGCCGTTGGGGTGTGTCTTGTTGGGTGCCGTGTTTGGGGGGGCTGAACCCGGGCATTTCGGTGGGCCTCCCGTCTTTAAGGCACACCCATTTATGATAATGCATTGCAATGGCTTCATTCTTCCAATGCCCATGGTCATGCGAATGCCGGCAATTCCCCAGATTTTCGCATGGGTGCCAGCAAAATGATTCCCCACTCGCGGCGATCAGATTCCCCAGAAGCGGGTCGCCATTTGACCCACAATCAGAACTCCCGAAATCAGTGAGTTCCCTTTGATTTCCCTTTTAAATCACTACAACAAAGGCACCCTCAAAGCCACCCAATAGCTGCATGCTGATATCCCTTTTAAGTTTTTACCATGGGTTTGGGGTCAGGTGTTGAGCTCGCATCGTGTTTCGCAGGACCCGCGGCCGATGCTTTCTGAGAGGGAGGTGGCGGTGAAGCATTGCGAGGCGAGCGCGAGCAGGGCGCGGTGCTAGTTGGGTGTCCTTTTGTAGGATATGGCTGTGGCTCAAAAAACCGGAATTCCAAAATGGGTTGCCCGATCGGTAAGTGGAAACATGGGTACCAAAATTTGCGGTTGCCCATCCGATCGTTTAATTTTGATTGCCACGCCCATATCCTTTTTTTGGTTCGTTGAATGGAAAATGACGCTGAGAACCGGCTCTTTGGGTTCCATGGGGGGAGTGCTGCTGTCACTGCTGTCATATGTCCGGCAATGCGGGCCAACCTGCGAGAGCCTCATCGAAATCCGTGCTTTGGGTACGGGCTGACTGCTTTACGGCTATTTGGCAACGAATCTTTGGACTTTAACTTTTGCTGGAAACAGATAACTTTCCATTGGACCCGCTAACGGCCAAACCACTTTCTGCAGAGGGGGTCGGCAGTTACAGCAACCAAGACTGTGCTTTTGCTCTGTTGGTCTCCTTGAACTTCTCGGCTGCCTTCGCCATGAATCTACGTCCAGATGCGAGGTCTTGACCAACTCGCTCGCGATACCTTGTGGGTTGCCAGTGATTGTTTTTCGACATGCCCTGAATTGGGTTTGTCGTTTTTGGGCACTCTTTTGGGGCTGAGTTTTTCCGGGAAACTCCAAAAGCTGGAAGCCGACGCCCATTTTGGGGTTCCCTTTGAGACACACCCATTTGGCGCCAATGTCTTCCTCCTCATGTTTGTAATTCTGGCCTTGTGCCTGGCCGTGAAATGTTTTCACCCAAGAAAGGAATTGCAGCAAATTTCTGAAGGCTATCTATCAAGCAGAAACGGTATGACCGTCTTAAAAGGGAGAGTGTATGGTTTGGGACCCTGTCATATGTGTCCTTTTTAGGATTGGTTATAAATAGATGGGTTCCACTGGAATAGAAATTGCTTTTGTGCCCCATTCGGCCTGTACATGATCTTCAGTGGTTGTCCGCGCCCACCTACAGCCCTGGTGGCAACCCAATGTGAAGCTTGTCGATGCGATTGAGAGGCTTCCACCTGCCTCCGCGCAGTCGAGGGATGCGAAGTTGGAATCCGTGGAAAACTCTTGGGGCTGCATTCAGCTTCTCAGACACGCGTTTCTGCTATTTTTTTCAGATGAGCGAGGTGACTCATGGAGTTCGTTTCAGTCCTCATGGATTATTTCCTTCTCCCCCTAAGGGGTGGTTCCCCTTTTCTTTTGAGAGCCCTGAGGCCCTACTAGGGGGGGGGGGCACAGGGAGCCGCCGGCTCGCGATCGATTGATGGATCCAGGCGGTGCTTTGGCCCAACGGCACTCGGAACGTCCAGCCTATGGAGGCGCGTCACTGGCGGGAGGTTTGGGGGGGGGGGGGGATGGGCTGCAAGATTGAAAGTCCAAGGGTAGATATCCGGTTTAGGTTTCTTTGGACATTCTTTTTCAAAGGGGCTATGGGCATATTTAGAGGTATATTTTGGGGTGGGGGAGAGGGGGAGGTTTTCTCTTTTTCTTTATATTATATACACATACAAGTAAGGTCCGGCAGAGCCGGGGGGCGGAAGTTTCAAAGCAGTGAACAACTATAGTTTGGAGAACTGTCCTTGGCCCCTTGCTCTCTCTCTCTCTCTCTTTTTCTCTCTTTCTCTCTTTCTCTCTTTCTCTTTCTCTTTCTCTTTCTCTTTCTGTTTCTCTGTCTCTCTCTCTCTCTCTCTCTCTCTCTCTCTCTCTCTCTCTCTCTCTCTCTCTCTCTCTCTCTCTCTTTCTTCTCTTTCCCTTTCCAAAGCTCCCAACGAGCGCTTCAAGTTCAACTCTCCTCCCTCCCCCCCGGTGGTGTAGGAACCTTCAGAGCCCTGTGACTGTGACACCATGTGGCAAAAAGGAACAAGTCTTACAACAAGCCTCACCAAAGCGGCCCCATCTTTTCTACTCCGGGCCCTCTGCTCCGCACGCTCGTAGGCACGCTGGCCGAAGCGCCAAGCGCGTCCGTCGGTGCCAACATCCGTGCTGACACGTCGCGCGCGTCGCCGGCCGAAGCGCCAAGCGACGACTACGCCTGCGTGACATCACGTCGCAGGTGGCAGCTGCCTGCGGCCCAAGATGAGTTCCCACGCAAGTCGTCCGTGCTCTGAAGACATGCGCGCGACTTCGCGAACTTTGCTGAACATGATCCACTGCCTGCACGTCTCCACGCCACTGATGCTCAGACGATCGCACTGCCGCTGAGCCGCTGTGTCCGACACGCCGGGCCCATGGATTGTGTCCCAGCACCGCTCGCACACACCTGTGCGCTCCAGCTCGCGTCTGCCTGGCTCTGTTTGCCACCTGTCGTCGGCTATGGCTTTCGTGCACGCCACGCATTCCTGCGAAGCCAAGCGCTCGGGCACGCTTAGGTTTCTCCTGTACACGTCCTTCAGCGCATTCAGCGCGTCGCCGCTGATGCTCACGAAAGTCGCCATGTCAACGCCGGCCGAAACGCCAAGCGCGGAGACTGCCTGCTATGGCGCGGAGCGGCCGGCCGAAACGCCAAGCCTGCTCCTAACACGTAATGGCCGTGTGACTCGCTGTGGCAAACTTGCTGTGCCGTGGAAAACAGCTCTTTAGTGACAAGATGTTGCGCTGCGTGTGTGCGTGTGTGATGTGTGGGTGTGCGTGTGTGTAAACATAAGCCCAAGTCACAGTAGTAACTGATTTTGAGCCGTTCAAAAAGCAACGACGGCGTTTGGCTGCTGAGCGAACAAAAAACACGGCACCCGTCAATCACAGCCCTCTTGTGTCCCACAAATGAGGCCTTAATAAGGCCTTACTAGGGTGGGGTTCCTTTGGCTTCCCCTTACAACCAACCAAAAAAAAAACAGGCATCAGACTTCACAAAATGGGTGGTGCCCCCTTCTCGTTTCCCGAAAAGAGTGGTTTTCCGTTGGGTTCCCTTTAAAACCGAGCCAAAAAAACAAAAACGGGCACCGAGCCCTGCAAAATGGTGGTCTCCCTTCAAAAAGCCACAAAAACAAATGGGCACCGGACCTCCCAAAATGGACCTTCCGAGGTCTGTTAAGGACAGCAAAGGCAAAAAGAGGTGAGCTCCAGGGGTTGCATCGTGGCTTTTGTCCCACGCGCAAAAGTGGTTGATCCTTCGCCCTTTTAGAAACAAAACCCTTATCAGCGCATTGCTTCTTAATCAAAGAACAAAAAGGCCATACTGGACAAGCTGAACAACACGAAGCCGCTAAAATCTCCCCAGCTCCGTCTCCCGCCCCGCCCCCGCAAAAGCCAGCCTTATTTCTCCGGCGAGCTTGGTCTGTGCGCCGCTGCTCGCGGCCCGAAACGGCACGCGAGCGTTGCGGCTGGTCGTCGCTGCTTGCTGGCGCAGCAACTACGCGGCCCGAAACGGCACGCGCAGCGCTACGCTCATGCTTTGGAGTCTCCCGTCCTTGCGCGCTCCAGCAGCCGCTGGAGCGACTCATGCAGGTCCCGCATATACTTCTCTGCTCGCATGCACCACTTCACTTCCTGCGCAGAGAAGTTTGGATGAGTTCCGGCCAAGTACGTGACGAACTCGTGCCCCTGATCAATGAGCCCATCCCGCTGGCCGTCGGGATACAGCCGAGGCAGGAACCGCGGCAGCTGCTGCAGCTGCAGCTGTTGTCGCCGATCTTTGTGATACTGCTCACTGTGCGTGCGCGTCAAGCCGCATGCGCAAGCCACCTGCTGGTAGAAACCTATGTTGCGCAGCTTCTGCACGTTGTCTGTGTCCCAGGTGCCGCGGTTTGGACTGGCCAGCGTGCCCAAGAACGAGAGCGCGTGCATCTTGAGAGTGGTGCCGTGGTCCGCCGATAGAGCGTGCCACTGATCGCATGCAGCGCCGAGACCGGCGATGGCTTCGTTGCCGCGGCACATCCTAGACTTCTGCAGCATGTACGGGCAACACTGCTGCACCAGCTGGTAGCTGCGCGTGTACCCGTCCCACACGGGCTGGGCGCGGCCGCCCCACATGGTGTGGACGAAAGCCTGCTGGCACTTCCGCACGTCCTTATCTGCGGGCAGCGCGCGAGCCCACGCCCTTGAGTCATCACTGCAGAAGCGCACACCCGCCCCGTCCATAAAGTCAAGCACGGTCACCTCGTGCAGGTTCCTGCTGGCAACCTGCCTTGCAAAAAGTGCCCCAATGTGGAACTCTACGGGCCCCCGTAGGTGCGGGTGCATCACATTTGCCGGCTGTAGCCTGGATAACACAAAATGCCCAAGCGCTTGGAACGCCAGCTGCAAGCCGTCGCCTTCGCTGGGCGAAATCCCAAGCGAAGCGAGCGCATCATCGCCGGCCGAAACGCCAAGCGACAGCGTGTGCACATTACTGCGAAGGCCGCAAGCATGTAGTCCGTGCCATAGAAACTCTTCTGCGTGCTGGCCGACGAGCTGGCGCATAGTCAGGCTCGGAGGCAAGGCAGCGGCGACGCGCACATGCGCGTGCGCCTCTTGCACCAGATTCTGCGGCGTGACAGCTGCCGTCGTTGCCGCCCCACGATCCCTCTGCCGCCCTGGCCGTGGGTCTGAGAGGCGCCAGCGCGCGAGGGCACGCGAGCACTTCCTCGGCCGAGAGCAAGGTGTCGTGGTGCACCAAGAAGTGCAAGTCCGGCACAGGAGCTGGCTCGGATACCTCCGACATCTGCGCGCGCTTTGACGCGGCTCGGAGCGCCGCACCGAAGCTTGGGAAGTCTTCGCCCCCAGGGTCCGGCGCCGGCCACAAAAGATACTCGTCCACGAAGTACGCCCACAGGTCGCACTCTTGCAAGCAAGTCTGCATGGCCGCCCACCAGCTCCGTGCGCCCTGTGTCCGCGGCAGAAACACGCAGTAGGCCGACCCCTGCCACGCTTCCGCGGCCACGTTTCGCAGCGCGCAGCAGAAGTATAAGTAGCGCTGCACCTGCATCATGACGTCCACCTCCAGCTCTCGGCAATGCGCGCCGAGGCGGCTCAGCAACTGCGCCGGCACGTACGCGCCGCCTGCGCTCCGCAGGATCGCCATCATGTGTAGGAAGATGGCGAACTGGCACCGACCGAGCCAAGACGTCTGCTGACCCACCAGACTGCTCGGGAGACCGCAGACATCCAGCATGTGGCTCTCGTGGGCATTGAGCTCGTCTCGCAGAGCGGCGTCGGCCGTGAGCCTCGCCTCGAGCGCGCCTGCCGCCTGGCCCCATGTGTCTGCAGCTGAAGAGTCCAGTAAGTACATGGCGGGCTTGTGCGATCCGCGCGCCGGAGCAAACATAGCGGATGCCGCCTGCTCGTCCTCGGACATGTCTACGTGGGCACACGCCGCGACAGCCAGAAAGTCAGCGCGGCGACGGATGGCCACCGCCCGCCGCCTGCTCTCCACTTCTATGACTTCCGGCCTGGGATGGAAGCGCACGGACCTTGCCGCCCGCTCCGGCGCGTCAGTGGACGAGGCCGGCCGAAGCGCCAAGCCACCGCCCTCCACTCTCCCGGCCATCGTCTGGGACGCACTGGGGTCGAGAAGGCCTTGCTGCAACATTGTCGCACGCACGCAGAGACACCAGCTGGCGTCCACCGGGACGTCGCGAGGGCTGCACAAGCTGCATTTCTCCGGAAGCGACTCGCAAATGCACTGGAAGCATGGCTGCCAGCTAGCCAGCAAGGAGTTCTCCGCGTTGCTCGCGGTCTGAAAAACCATCACTGCGTGCCGCTCTGCTCCGAGAGCGTGCAGCAGCTGTTGTTTGTCCGGCGTCAGCATCCTTTCGAAAAGCCACTGCAGCTGCCCGCCCCGGTTCGAAACAACACGGCGCGGGTCGCCTACATCCGCAAGGACGACATCAAGGTTACCCCGGTGGCGCAGGTGCGCCACTAGCCGTTCCTTGGCGCGGTTTACTACATTATTAGGCTGACGAAAGCGGTGCTTCGCGGCCGGCTTGCCTTCCGTGTGGGATGCTGCTGTCTCTTCGATAATGCGGCGCCCCGCCGTCCAGTCCAGCGAGATCTCGACGCGTCGCCGCGTGCTTTTGAAGACCAGCCACAACACGAAGTAGCAGCACACGGCGAGCAGCATGCTGCGATGCTTGCCGGCCCGGCACACAAACCAAATCTCCAAGGTCCTCGCTGTCCGGACATTCATCCACACGAGGACAGCCATGCAAAGAGCTGCGACCACCATGCCGAAGCTCTGGGCACTTTCTTGCAAATGCTTCCGCGCAAGACACCGTCCGTCCAGCACATGATAGTACACGCCATGCACCGAAATATCCCGCAACAGCTCGTCGACAAAAAACATAAAAACCTACTGTCCGGCCCTGCGCGCTCCAAGTACTGGAGCAGCTCGCCCTCTGTGTTG